AGTGATGCATTCACAGTGGGGAACTTCTACAGTGCTCTCTCTCCAGACAACCAGAGGGTGATTGAGTCTCTATGCCCAGGAGGGGATATTCTTACTAAGACTCCACCCGAGTTGAACCAGATGATCAGTACTTTGGCTGCCAGAGATCATTCTTGGGGACAGGGTAGCCGAGGCAGACAGTCCCGGGACCGTGGTGTGAACGCCATGGACCCAGATCCGGGCTCGAGCAGCAGGTAGCTGAGCTAGTGCAGACATTGAAGCAGCCCAACAGTCTTATTACGGGCAGAGGTTTGGCTACACCTCCAGTAGCTCAATGTCAGTGGTGCGAGAGCTCCAATCACCTAGTGGAGGACCGCCAGGCTATGAGGGAGTCTACCACTCCCCAAGAGCAGTTGGACTTCATCGCCAATGCTCGGCGCCTCGACCTGTACAGCAACACATATAATGCGGGGTGGCGCCAGCATCCCAACTTCGCCTGGAGCAGCAACACCACTAAACCACCTGGTTTCCCAGCACCAGCAGGTGGTTTTCAACGGAGGCAGCCCTTCCAGGCTTGACAGGGGCCAGCCCCACAGCAACAGCCCTACCAGCCTAGGCAGGGGCAACTATTCCAGCAGCCCCAACGCCAGTTCGCCAAACCAGCAGCAGCTCCAGCCCCAGATGACCGGATGACAAAGCTGGAAAATATTCTAGCCTCATTCATGACTAGCACTCAGGCAGCTATCACGTCACTGGAGGCAGGTCAGCGGAACCAGGGTGCCATCTTGCAAGATCTGCAGAACCAGGTGGGTATCTTGGCCCGCCAAAACACTACCAGGGCACTGGGGACTCTGCCTGCCACCACTATCCCGAATCCTCGGGATCCTCATCAGCTCCAGTAGTTGGATGTCATTTTTACCAGGAGCGGTAAGACCATATCTGCTGATCCTGTCCCGGCCAGACAGGAGGAACCACTACCAGCTTCAGCACTTCCAGCCGACGATGCAGCAGTGCGGGTGGAGAAGGAAGCCCCTGCTCCCAAGCCACAACTAGTGGTTAAGGAGCATGTACCCCAGCTTCCCTTCCCCACTCACCTACACAAAGACAAGTTGGAGACTGAGTTTGCCAATTTTATGGCAATGTTGAAGCAGCTCAACATCAGCATACCGTTTGTGGAGGCACTGTCGAAGATGCCCAAGTACGCGAAGTTCATGAAAGATCTCCTCACCAACAAGAAGAAACTTGGGGATCTCTCGACAGTGTTGCTGAGCGAGGAGTGTTCTGCTATCCTGCAGAACAAGCTGCCCGAAAAGCGCAAGGATCCAGGGAGTTTTACTATCCCTCTTACTATTGGCAGCATGCATGTAGGCAAGTCATTGGCGGACCTAGGTGCTAGCATAAAGTCATGCCATATAAGTTGTATAAAAAGCTAGACCTAGGTGAACTTAGCCCTACTAGGATGAGCATTCAGTTAGCTGATCGTTCCATTGTGCATCCTAGGGGGATCATAGAGGATCTGCTTGTTAAAGTAGGTGCATTCACATATCCTGTTGATTTTGTTATTCTTGATATACATGAGGATGTGGATGTGCCTTTGATTCTGGGTAGACCATTTCTTGCCACCGCCAAGGCACTTATTGATGTGCATGATGGTAAACTGATCTTGCGTGCTGGGAATGAACATGCTACTTTTTCTGTGACTGAATTCGATCATTGTGCTATGCTTGCTGTCACACCTGTGCATGCCCTTTCTGATCAGGTACACGAGCTTGTCGTGTATCCTTCCGCACCTCTCATTTTGCAGGACCCTCCTATCATTCCTTCGCCACCACTCCATCCAGCCTCGCCTCCGAACAAAAAGATCAAGGAGGAGTGGAGGCCGAAGCAGCAGGTTGCCAAGCCTGCACGGAAGAAGGGTGGAGACCACTATGAGCTGGTTCCACCTCCTGCACCACGACCACCCTGGCCGTCTGGGTACTCACTCGCCTGCATCTTGCCAGATGGCCAGGTCGAGCTGACCGATGATGGTGGTCGCATCCGTCGGGTGCATGGCCACAACCTGAAGCTGTACCTCAAGAGCGACTTGGATCCGCTCTTGGAGGCACCTGTTCCTTCACCTCCCTGAGTATCCACCATGGGCGTCCAGCTAAAAGACGGTAAAGAAGCGCTTGTGGGGAGGCAACCCCACCACGGTTTGACTTTCTTTCTTGTGTTTTGAGTCAGATTGTAAACCGGTTTGGTTTTGGTTTATTTTCTTTTGTTTTGGATGATGTCTTATTGGGCTGACATTGGACCTAACATATTGTGTTTGAGCTCTTCTGTTCCCCTTTAGCTGTGCTTTGTTCCAGACTGGTCTCTCCCCAGTCCGCTTCACTCGGCGGGTCCGCTCCCAGCCTCCTGCAGTCCGGGCATACCGGTAACATCGTTCCTCTTTTCCTTCCCTCTTCTCCATTGAGGGCAAAGAGATCCGAGAATGATTGATCAACTACCAGCTCAGAGGATGAAGAAGGGTGGCTAATACAGATTCTGCATTTCCATCCGAATCCGAATCGGAAGGAAGGAAGGGCAGGAAATTTTCATTTCAATTATTACTTAAAAAAGGCTTTTCTGGGCCTTCCTCTAACAGATTCAATGGCATCGCATAAGAGAAGAAAGGGTCCATAGACAGAAGAATGTCGATCTTAAGTGTGAGGGGATGTTTATCTTTTGAGTGCATTAGATCTGTTTGTGTGCTTGGAGCCTAGTCCACTATCCAAATTTTTAAATTTGAGGGCTCCAAGTACGTGTTTCCGTGCAATTGCCTGCTCAGTATGCTTTGAATTGACAGTCTTTGTAGTAATATGCAACCTAGGGAGGTAGTGTAGCACTATGGAGGATGTTGATGCATTTAAGAAGTCTCATTCCTTCTTCATATTGTGTTGGTTGATTGAGTGAATTAGTGATCTTAGGACCCTTGAGTTGTGTGGTGTTGTGGACTCTCTACCTGTCATGGACTCTTGTTTCATGTTTTGAGTTTAACAGGTGCTCGAAAATGTGCTTCAAAATAACGTCTCCCGTGCGAATAGGGGCGAAAGTGTATAAGGGGAGACGGGAATCCGTTCCCAATTTCCACCTACTACCTCCAGCCCCCTTACATGTCTTTCCCCCGCACGAGGCTCGAGACATCCGCTCCTGGCATGGCCGGTAAGAGCAGGTTGGGACCCTTGAAAAAAAAAAAGAAATAACAGAAAACGAGCAAAACAGAAAGAAAAGGGGTTCCAACCATCTTCAAGAAGAAAATAGAGCACCTTGAAAAATGTGAGTCCATGATCCTTTGTTTTTGAGAATCTCTTCATCAACAATTCATTTGTCCTCTGTTCACTATTCGCCATGATGCCGACTCGATACTAGTGCTCTCGCCGAAGGAGCTATGATATGACTTGTGCGTCGGTTGACCTCGTAAGCTACTAAATGATCTAGGAAGTCCTCTACCTACGATCTGGGTTGTTTGTTGCTATAGAGGTTTGGAGAGCTGCATTGGTTTGAGTTAGGTTTGCTTGGGGACAAGCAAACGGTTAAATGTGGGGGAATTTGATAACGATGTAATTGCACATATTTGCGCCCCTAGTTCTTATCCGTTTGAGGGGCATAGTCGTGTATTTTGGCCTATTTTACGCCGGGTTGTGCTATTTTGTCATATTTCAGGTCCCAGGCGTCAAAGGAAAGGCTAAGCACGAGTTTCGGGGCATTCGAAAGTCATCGTCGAGCTGGAGCCAAAACACGGGCACACCTAAAACAGAACACGGCCGTGTTCTGTGGCCGTGTTTTTACTGCCGAGAGCAAATTCGAGTTTGGCAGACATGAGCTGATTACACGGGCATGGCCGAGACAAAGCACGGCCATGTCCACCCAAAGCACGGCCGTGTCCTCCCAAAAGCATGACCGTGTTTCTCCCAAATGCTGGCCGTGTAATTAACCCTAGCCAAAGCATGGGCGGGCTGAGGCAAAGCACGACCGTGCCCTCGACCGTGCTTTTGCCACTGATGCCCTTTTAAGCAGATTTCAGCGAAAACAGAAGGGGATTCGAGTTTTGAGAGAGATAGAGCGATTCCTAGAGAGAGAAAGTGACGAACAAGAGTCTCCAAGTGCCCTAGCTTGATCTTCATCACCATTGGAGGCCAGTTTGAGCTTGGAGAAGTGCCGATCAACGCCCAGGGGCAGGAATCCATCCTTCACAGTATGAATTCCGCGTCTGATTCTGCTTTTGCTTCTTTCTCCATGGAATTCTTGATAGAGCATCCTTGATTGAAGGTAGGGAGTTGGTGACTTTAGTCGAGGAGCCAACTCACTATTCTGTACCGGATTTACTCCGGTAGTGGAGGTTTTGGTTGTTAAGGCCTCAATCTGTTTACTCCGGTGGAGGTTAGTCGCCCGCTAGAAACTCAGATTGAGAGGGTCTGAAGACCTTTAGTCGAGACTTCAGGCTGTTTAAGAACTTTTTGCAGTATAACTATCAAAGAGACTGAACTTGGTAATTACAATCCGGCTTAAATGCAGTCTAGGGGGAACCATATCCGGGTGACCTCTCTTAACCTGAATACAACAATTACTTGCTTTGTTAGTTTGTTAGTTTAGACTTGCATTAAAGTTTCATTGCTAGATAACAAGAATTCACCGAGTAGTCATCAAATCTAGGACCCGGGTTGATATTAAAATCCAAACCCGCTATACTACGCTTTAGGAAGTGGTTTCACTTGGCCAATTCCTAGGGTGACAGTAGAAGTGAGTCAGTACCATCGGCTGCCAATGGATTTTGCTGGGAATGACGATCCAATGCCAGGAAAGAGATCTCGAGTCAATTCCTTATAGCAGAGGCTGAGAAGGCATCCTCCTGCAAAGTGGATTACCTTCGAATCGTATTTGCCTCTGTAATATTGGCTTCTAACTGAATGTTCCTTTTTTTCCATTGAAAGTGATTTCAGAGAGGGAATTATATTTTCTATTTTGATTATCTTTCCTGTGAAATTGAACTATGGAGGCGTTAAGCTGTTGAGATTAATTAGGTTTCTGGGGAGCTCCATGTTTAGTTTTTTTTTTTTTTTGTGTGGATAGACTTGTGATAGTTCATTGTGATTTATTAGGGTTGGCAGTGTTATAATTGTGCTTAATGATGTTTTGCAGAGGACAGGCTTCGGTGAAGCTGTGATCTTTTGCCCATTAATCTGGAAATGGCAGATTCAGGAGAATCTCAACAGCCTGAACAAGGTATTGATGCTCACTCTTGAACCGTAGTTTCTGCTTTGATTTGCTTTGTTCGCATTTTCTTGGGTTCTTATGATACATCTTTTCGCCTTCTGCTGTTCTGCAGTATGCAGCTTTTTCAGAAAGCCAACTAAGGGGAAGAACATCAGGAAGAGAGCAGTAGAAGACGATGATGCCGAGGATCCAAAAACCGACAGCTCTTTCTTAAACAATCAGAAGAAGGTGCCAAAGTCTGATAACAAGCTATACTTCTCGACATGACCTTCCAAGAGCTCAAAGCCATCTGATTCCAACTCGGACAACAATGAGAAATCCATCTTTCAGTTTCAGTCTTCAAAGGAAATTCAGGTACAAAATGACAGTAGGGCAACAGCAACTCTGGAAACCGAGACAGACTTTGGAAGAGATGCAAGGGCAATACGTGAAAGAGCTCTTAAGAAAGCAGAGGAGGATCTGAAGGGTAACAAACAGATTTCTTCATGCGGCAATGAGAAGCTGTACAAAGGAATTCATGGGTATACAGATCACAAAGCTGGATTTAGAAGAGAGCTAACAATCGCAAGTGAGAAAGCTGGTGGATCACATGGGCCACTTAGGGCATCTGCACACATCAGGTTCTCAGCAAGGTTTGATTATCAGCCGGATATATGTAAAGATTACAAAGAGACCGGTTACTGTGGTTATGGAGATTCTTGCAAGTTTATGCATGATCGAGGGGATTACAAGTCTGGATGGCAAATGGAGAATGAGTGGGATGAGGCAGAGAAGGCAAGGAAGAGGAAATTAGCTATGGGTGCGTTGGCCAAGGAGGAAGGTGAATTTGATGAAGCCAATGATGATGACGACGATGATGACGAGGATGCAATGCCATTTGCATGTTTCATTTGTAGGGAGCCTTTTGAAGATCCTGTTGTGACCAAGTGCAAGCATTACTTCTGTGAACATTGTGCTCTAAAGGTACCTACCTACTCATCTCCCGAAATTTAGAATCATGATCATCAATTCTTTTGCCAAGTTCTATGTTTAGCTTGCAATTCTGTAACGTGAGTAACATTCACTTATTGTGTTTTCTTCTGTCTTTTTCTTGCAGCATCATTCCAAGAACAAGAAATGCTTCGTCTGCAACAAGCCGACGCTGGGTATTTTCAACACTGCTCATGAAATACGCAAGAGGATGGAAGAGGCGAACAAATGATCATGCTGGCTTGCTGCAGATGCTGTATCGGCTGATCACTTTTTGAGTCCCTGACACGGGCTGTTGCATCTTCCCGGCTCATGACACTTCGAGCAATTTCATTTTAAGAGAGTTATTAGTGATCTAGTATGACACCATCGCATTGCGAGTATACCATGTAATCAAAAAGTTGATCTGCAGGCGTCTGGAGTCTTGATTTGCTTGTATTTTGTAGACAGTTCTTTTCATGTCTACACTGATACGATTGCGAATTTCATCCTCCAATTAAATTCCAACCAAATAGGTGCATGAAAGATCTTAAGGGGTTGTTTGGATTAGGAAATGTGGGTAGGGATTTTGCCACAATTTCTTGTCATTAGGGATTTTGTCACAATTCTTTGTTTGGATAGGAAAATGAAAATGAGGGATTTGAGTCACTAGGAATTTCGAAAATCCTATCATTAGAGAATTTAAAATAGCTGATGGACCTCAGATTTTTTGAAATCTCTTGCCTATTTTTTTCCAACCTTCCTAATTTATCCCTCCTTATTTTTTGGTATTACTTTCTTACCCTCACTCTTTATTCAACGACTCACCACTTCCAATTGTCTAGAACCAGAAGTTTGCACAGAACTACCATACTTTGTGCTTTAATTAACTGTTAATATTGGGGGTCATGGAGATTCGAACACACGACCACTTGGTCAAACCAGCTCTGATACCATGTCAAAACCAGTTGCTCCCAATAACTCGAGTTGTTGGGAGAAAGTTCTGTTGGATCTTATACCACTCTCTAACACCAATCTCTCTTTCCCATCTACATCTCTTTCTTCCCTCCCGATACGAGAAGCTGCAAGCAGAGTTTCAACCTCACATCATTGGCGACTGTAGCGGAGATAAACCTAGCGACGTCGGCAACTGCAGCGGAGTTTTACCAGCTCCGATCTACACCGACGTTGACGGTCGTCTTGAAGTCCGTCTGATCTCCATTTTCGATCTCGCCAGCTTTGCATGGGATTTGTGCTTCGGACTCAACCAACTGAAGCTTGGAATCAGTTTAGGACTGATTTGGTCTCAGAGATGTGGCAAACTCGACCTGCTAGATTTCGAGCTTCGTCTTGAGTTTGATTCATTGTTGTTTGGCTGTATTCATTAAATATTGAGGACTTGTTCAGTTGTAATGGTTAATACATGTTCAGTTGTAATTCAAGGTATTTGTTTTGACAAGTAGACAAAATTGGGATCCCCTCTTTGCCCCTCCTTTTTTGTGTTAGTGTTTTCACTTCTGAAATATTACTACTACTCAGTTTTGGATTGTGAAAGAAGTTGAAAGTTTTAGATGAATCCCATGAATTTATCTGAATATTGGATCATGGCATAATAGCTTTTCTGTGGTTTTAAACTTGCTGCTTAATTTGAATGGAGGCTGTGTTCGGCGTAGTTGGGTTGTTATTTAATGAATGCCTATTTGGTCGCAGACTCGCAGTGTTTGATCCGTCTATGGACCAACTTATGCTTTTTGTCAGTGATTCTCATGGCTAGTAGTAGTCTCAATGATTGATTTTTGCTTTGCTGGGTGCAGACCTGTTAGTATGAGCAGCAAGTTCCTCTCGACATGATCGAAACAGAAATCGGGACTTATCTAAGCTCGTACCAAGTACTAAGTATATTGTTTGCTGGCTTTAGTTGGGCATTAAGAAACACCTAGGTAAGCCACTAGGATAAGCTCATGCACACGCAGGGTAAGATATGTATGCAAATTGCAAAGCCCTATAAGCAGTGATCATTTGTTTCCCTCCTTTTCAATGTCCGTTTAAGATGCATGCTTTATTGTAGTCTAGTTGAAGCTGATATTGATTTAGTTGTTTATCTTGTTTCCATTTGTAATGAATACAATGTTCTATTCATAGATTGGTTGTATTATGTGTGTTTAATGGTACTTATCTATAGCAGTACGAAACTAGAGTTGTTTATATTGTTCTCTTTGTACTTATCTAGGCTAAGACATGGATATCCTCTTTTGTATTGTTCTGTTTTGCAGCATGGGAAAGTGAAAGCAACGTGATGGAGATATGGATGGTGCTTGCTCTAAGAAATATACGTACTGGAAAGAGGAACTAGGCCATTTGTTGACTGTATTCTGGAGCTAGTAGAGAAGGGGCAGATCGTTGACGCCAACTGCAAGAATGGGGATTATAACCAGTTAAAGAAACTGTTGCAGGAAAGAGTGTCGGGATGCAGGGTCAAGGCATATCCTAACATTGAAGGCAGGTTCAAAAAACTGAAAAAGAGATGGCATGCAATAACATTTATGAGGAAACAAAGTGGTTGGGGATGGGACGAGGTCAATAAATGCATTGTATGTCCCGAGGGATCTTGGGCTGTCTCTGTTTCGTCCTTCTTCCTCGTCGTGAGCGTGATAAACTGTCTTCTAAAACGTCTCGTTGTGTGTTCCTGGGGTATAGTGACATCCACAAAGGGTATTTGTGTTATGATCCTTCTGCTGATCATATTCGTATCTCGTGTCATGTTGTGTTCTTTGAAAATGTCATGTACTATGAGTCCTTGTCTAGTTCCTCCGATCCTCCATTGTTTTTGTCGACTCGGCTCCCTGTCTTTGAAGATGATGGTGAACAGGATGAAGAACCCCCTCCCGAGACGCCTCCCGAGACACCTCCTGGTTCTCCCGACTCGCCCGGTTCCTCCTCTAGCTCGTCGTCCGACTACTCCGTGGCGTCTCCTGACGTCGTATCCTCCAGCTCGGCCGAGAGCTCCCCACCACCTGCAGCTGTTCGAAGGTCCACTCGGGCCAATTTTGGAAAGCCACCTGCTAGGCTTGGTGAATTTTATGCTCACAGTGTCACTCCCATTACTATTCTGACCCGCTATTCACAGGCAAAGAATGATCCTCGGTGGCAAGCTGCCATGGGTGAGGAGTTTTATGCTCTTGATCAGAACCATACTTGGTCAATTGTTGATCGTCCTCCTCCTCCCACTCCCGTGGTAGGTTGTCGTTGGGTTTACACGGTGAAATATCATCCTGACGGTAGTTTGGAGCGGTTTCGGGCACGTTTGGTTGCACAGGGATTCACACAGGAATATGGCATCGATTTTGAGGAGACTTTTGCTCCAGTGGCTAAGATGCCCACTGTTCGTACTCTTCTCGCTGTTGCTGCCGTTCGTAATTGGCCGTTGTTTCAGTTTGATATCAAGAATGCCTTCCTTCACGGTGACTTGAAGGAGGTTGTGTATATGGAGATTCCGCCTGGGCATCCTGATAGTTCTCCGGGCAAGGTATGCTTACTTCATCGTTCTCTGTACGGTCTCAAACAGGCTCCCCGAGCCTGGTTTGAGAAATTTCAGCAGACTATTTTGGGTTTTGGCTTTCACCAGAGTCGTAATGATCCGTCCCTCTTCACTCGTACTACTCCTCGTGGCCGTGTTGTTCTTTTGATATACGTCGATGACATGATTGTCACTGGCGATGATCTGGATGGTATCTCCAAGCTGAAGGCTGATCTCCATGCTCATTTTCACCTCAAGGAACTCGGCCACTTGTCTTATTTTTTGGGCATTGAAGTACATCGTTCTGATCGTGGTATTCTCTTGTCTCAGCATAAATACATTAATGATCTTCTTGATGATCACCGGTTTGCAGACTGTCTTCCTGTTCGTACTCCTATTGAGCTTAACTTGAAGCTTGGGAAGGAGTCTGGCACTCCGTTAGCAGATGGTCGCATCTATCGCAGTATTGTTGGCAGTCTCATTTACTTGGTTGCTACTCGACCCGACATCGCCTATGCTGTACAGGTTGTAAGTCAGTTCATGGCTGCCCCTCGCACTGACCATTTGGCTACCGTCCACCATATTATTCGATATCTTCAAGGGACTCGAGATGTTGGCCTTTTTCTTCCTTCGACTGGTGATTTTCAGTTACGAGCCTATTCTGATTCCGACTATGCGGGTTGCATTGATACCCATCGCTCTACGACGGGCTGGTGTATCCAATTTGGCTCAGCTTTTATTTCATGGCGATGCAAGAAGCAAGGCAAGGTTTCCAAATCGTCTACCGAGGCGGAATATCGAGCTATGTCTGATTGTGGTTCGGAGATGGAGTGGTTGTCCCGATTACTTGGTGATCTTGGTGTAGCTATTCCTACTCCGATGGTTCTTCATGTCGACAATACGAGCGCCATCCAGATCGCGGTTAATCCGGTGCTTCATAGTCGTACCAAGCATATCGAGGTTCACGTTCACTATATTCGTGATCTTGTTGGTGCTGGTACTATTCGGATGCGCTATATTCCCACCGAAGAACAGGTCGCTGATCTACTTACCAAGTCCTTCACCACAAGTCGTCACTGGTTCCTATCTAGCAAATTGATGCTTCGGGACCAGCATCAATTTGGGGGAGGCTGTTAGAGCCCATGAGGGCGTCGTACATATATATATATATATATATATATATATATTGTGGGCCTTAAGCCCATGCATCCCATGCATGTAAGGGCCGACGTGCGTAGGCTAGGGCTAGGGTTAGGTTACATTAACTTCACCTTTGCCTTCTCCCTCTGTACCGAGATATATATATATATATATGTACAATGTATGGTGAAGCTACGGTAAGATAATAAGATCAGTAGCGGGAGAGTCTTCAAGCTCTCCTCACCCATGGACTAGTCCTGATACATCAGGGATACCACGTAAATCTGTTGTTCCGTTCTTATTTCGTTCAATATGTCTAACAGATTATTCCATGCGGTGGCGTCTACTCCCGGCATCTCCTGTCGTTTCTTCCTCTTTTTGATACTTGTGCAAGTTTCTTTTTCCTCTTGTATTGCTGGTTGATGGCCTGGTGAGGTTTAGACGTGGCAATTAAAAAATAATAAAAATTTATAAGATCACTTTTTTTTTATTTTCCACCTCAATTATAACTATTAAAAAAATAAAAAAGTCATTTCACCTTCTCCAATCACTGCCTCACCACCACCTCCTTCCCCGGCAGCTACCTCAAAGCCAACCTCCTCACATTCGCTGATACCCAGCAATCCAAAAATTCAAGTACACAATAACCTCAGACCCACTCAACATCAAAGCCTCATGGGTCGGTTGCGATGTCTGCACCTACCGCAGCTTCTTCTGCGACAGCCCGCTCGACAATGCCTCGGCCACCGCCACATCAATCGACTTCAACGGCTTT